GTCTGGGCTCAAGGCTTGAACTCCGCTGGGCGGGGTCCAGGGCTGGGCTGGTGTTTGAAGACACCTTTGTTTGCCCGTCCCCCCCAGGTTACACCGCCTTCAATGGCGTGGACTTCGAGGGCACGTTCCACGTGAACACGGTCATGGATGACGACTACGCCGGCTTCATCTTTGGCTATCAGGACAGCTCCAGCTTCTACGTGGTCATGTGGAAGCAGATGGAACAGACATACTGGCAGGCGAACCCCTTCCGCGCGGTGGCCGAGCCCGGCATCCAGCTCAAGGTGCTGCCTCTGTCCTTGCACCCTCCCCCCCATCCCCAAAGCCTTTACGGACCCTCAGCCCTTAGCCTCGGGCTGTGGACTTCAATTCCCTCCACTCCCCTGGATTCCCACAGGCCCCAAATCCTCCTAGCTCTTCCCATAATCCTCCAAACACCCCTGTGGCTCCCCAGTCTTCCTTTGGGGCCCCAAAGCCTCTCACAGAACCCGGAACTTTCCCTCAGACTCCAGATCCTCCTGCAGACTCCCCAGACCTCAGCATATCACTGCAACCTTCCCGCAAAGTCTTCAAGTCCTCTAGACTCCTGTTTACCTCCAAAGCTACATGTCACCAAGCCTTCCTGTAGAACCCCCTAATCCTCCCAGACCCCCCAAATCCTCCCAGACCCCAAACCTGCCTGCAGACCACCAAATCCTCTCATGGACCTCCAGAGCACCGCCCCCCCACGGGCCCCCAAGAAGGCTTCCTGTGGGTCTCCCACCCAGGGCCTCCAGCTCCCACCACCCACAGCTCCCCACTGTCCCTCCAGGCAGGGCTCTAGGAGGGCTCTGGCTGCCTGTGAGGCCTCTGACCCCCTTCCCTGGGCAATGGCAGGCAGTGAAGTCCTCCACGGGCCCTGGGGAGCAGCTGCGGAATGCACTGTGGCACACGGGGGACACGGCATCCCAGGTGCGGCTGCTGTGGAAGGACCCCCGCAATGTGGGCTGGAAGGACAAGACTTCGTACCGCTGGTTCCTGCAGCACCGGCCTCAAGTGGGCTATATCAGGTACCCACCCCGTCAGTGGGCTGGGCCGGGGACACCCCGGCCAGACGGGAGCACACGGCGCCAGGGCCTCGTCCCCTTCTCTGCACCCCAGGGGCAACACGGGCACTTAGCATGAGCCTGGGCCTGGCCCTGTGCTGGGCGGGACCCAGCACACAGTGGGTCTCCAGCCAGAAAGCGGGGCCTCGCCAGTGCCCGTTTCTCAATCCCCACCCCGTGTTGCTGGCAAGCGCAGGTGTCCTGCTGAGCGCCTGCTGTGTGCAGGGCCCTTGGCATCCATCCTCACGCAGGAAAACTGAGGCCCAGGTCAGGGGCCCCCATCTGCTCTGCTGCCAACCAGCACCTCTGAATGTGCCCAGCCGGGCGCAGAGAAGAGGGGGCCTGTCTTCCAGGGTCGGGCGCTGAGGCTCCGAGAGGGGAGGGCCTGGCCTGGATCTCTCTCACTGCCTCCCGCCCTCAGGGTGCGGTTCTACGAGGGCCCCGAGCTCGTGGCTGACAGCAACGTAGTCTTGGACACGACCATGCGGGGGGGCCGCCTGGGGGTCTTCTGCTTCTCCCAGGAGAACATCATCTGGGCCAACCTGCGCTACCGCTGCAACGGTGAGTTGGGGGCCGGCGGGCAAGGGTGGGCGCTTGCCCATGGGCCCTCGCCTGCCCGCTCACCTGCCCGTGGGCCCTCATCGGCCTGCTCTGCCCACCTTCTTTGCAGACACCATCCCCGAGGACTATGAGACCCAGCGGCTGCAGCGGGCCTAGGGATCTGGGTGGGAACCCACCACCGGAAGATGGCCACCCTCACCTCGGCTGGATGGGGACTCAGCACCCAGCTCTGAGGAGCAGCTGGCCAGGGATTGGGGGTGGAGGAGGAGGGCTCAGAGAGGACACAATAAAGTGTGTGCGGGGAGCAGCGGCTGTGGTCTCTGCTGCCAGGAGACAGGAGGGACAGACCTCAGAACAGCGTGGAGGCTGCAGACTGAGGCCCCAGCAAGTGCAAGTTAGGCTAGCAGGTGGGCTGGGGCCTGGTGGTTGGCTGTGGACCGTCCAGCCCCGGTCTGGGGAGGCCCCAATTCTGCCACTGCATCCTGCCCACTCGTGGTCGTGGGCTTGGACTCCAGCCATGGATAAGTCGAAACACCACGGGGTTGTCTGCCCCAGGATCCCGGAGGGTGGGTTCTCTGGGGGGCTGCCTCAGGTTTGAGGACCCCTCCCCTCTCTGGGCCAGGGGGGTGGTCTGGAAGGGCCAAGTCTCCCCCACATTCCATCCCCCAAGGAGGATGGGGGCAGGGGGAAGAAAAAAGGGGACGAGGCAGAGACGAAAACGTTGGGTTTTTATTACGTTTCATTACAAAGGATGCAAAGGTACAAAGACAAAGCGTCCACGCCAGAGAACGGGGCAGGGACGACCGAGTGTGCCCCTCACCCCCACCGCTGCAGCCACCCTCACGCGCGCGGCCCACAGGATGTCCGCGGCGGAGTGTACATGCGGGGGGCAGAGCCAGCCTGGGCACAGAGGGGCACAGGCGGGGACAGGGCTGGGACCAGCAGGTTTGCATATATCAGTGGGGCTGCCCAGCCCATGGAGGCCGTTTCCTCCTGAGGGCACGGCAGAGCTTGTGGACCTTGGTTGCCAAAGCCCACCCTCCTGGGGCCCAGTGGCCAAGGCCACGGCTACGTCCCCTTGTCCCCGGCGGGCAGGAGGTCAGAAGTGCTTGATGGCTGGGCTCAGCATGGACTGGCCTCAAATTCCAGAACCCTTCAAGATGGAGGCCACTCCCGACCCCAACACACGCCTCATGTCCCTGATGCCTGGGGACGGGGTGCTGGGTGCTGGCCATAAGCCCAGAGCGGGGATACAGTCTCTGCAATCAGGGAGCCAGCATCACCCCGGTCCAGCCCCTGTCCCCATATCCTGCCTGGGAGGAGTCTGGGGCCCTGAGACCTGCAGGTGTGAGAAAATGACAGGGAAACTGAGGCTCAGGTCACAAGGTACTCACCTCTGCCCCCATGCCCCTGGGAGTACCCCAGCACCCAGGCCTGGGGGTGCAGGTCACCACACCTCCTCCTGGGGAGAGAATGGTGTCTGCGGCCTATGTGGGTGGGTAGACACCTGGGCCACACTGAGAACTTTGGGGTGCCTCACCTCCAGCTGGCCGGGATCCCCAGAGGCTAGGGACCAAGGGACACAGGACGAGCTGTGGCTCAGGCCGAGCTGGCTGGGGGACGCCCAGGGGCCCCAAGTCACATGCCGCGAGACCCCCCCAGGAGGTAGAGGCCTGTGGTCCAAGGAGAAGGGTTGGAGGGACCCAGCTGCCCACACAGGCGCCCTCCCCCAGTGCTAAGGCCATGCGGGGAGGGCTCTGATGCCCACAGCCCCTGACCTGGGCCAGGCTGAGGGCCCCCACGTCTCACCCCACACTGAGGGCCCCTCAGCCTCTAACTGACGGCGCCATCAGGACCCGGCGAGGGTGATGGGAGCTGCTGTTTTGTCAGGACAAGGGACAGCACACCCTCGACACTGCCAGGCCTCTGCTCGCAGGCCGTCCTTGGGAGCGTGTGGGGGCCTTCTTTGGAAACAAAGAAAACTCGAGACCAGGTTGGGCTAGAGTTTGAAAGAATGCTTGGCTGTAAGCCAGCTCAAGGCCCAGTGAGGGGGACATCAGTGTGCCCCCAGGAACGAGCACGGATGGACTGGCCAGGCCCAGGACGCCAGGCAGAAAAAGCTCTGGCCACCCCTGTGGGGCCTCATGCCTGCACAATCCTCAGAGCCCATGCCCGAGCAGGAGGGACAGACGTGGGTGCCGTGCCCTCCACATGGGGTCTCCAGCCCCCATCTGACAACCTTCGGCCATTCTGACCCTCCCCACTGTGACACCGGGGCCTCACTAGGGGGCCCTCCTGGCTAGGCAGACTCCTGGGAGCTCGGCCCCCTGAAGAAATCAGGCCAAGCACCCTGACATCAGAACCCTCCTCCCCACAAAGTGATCCCAGCAGGGCCCCGATGGGGGCACAGAGCCTCTTCTCTGGAAGACACGGAGAGGGGATGACTCGTCTGCATCCTCACCCTGCAAGCCTCGTGGGGGAACAACTTCCCCACCCTAGAAAGTGACAGAGGGTAAACCGAGGCAGGTGGGAACGTCATGCTCTCAGGAGCATCCTGCCTTACTTCCATCCCAGGGGAGGGTCTGCACAGCCAGGGTGGGGGACTCAGCCGAGACTGGGAGCACATGGTGGGGCGGGGAGTGGCCTCTGACCCGGCACAGACCAGTCCCCAGCAAGCAAGGACAGAGACGGCGGGTCCATCGACACGTGGAACAGCCCGGAACGGCTCCACCCCGGCCTGCCCCCGAGGCACGGCCCATCCAAAATCACAGTATTTTCACTTCACAAAGCAAAAGGCCTATCTCCCCTTATGCCACGTTGCTTCAGAAAGTCTTGGCAATTCAAGAATATTTATTAGAGAAGTGATATTTTCTAAAAAACACAATGCAAAATGCCCTGACGCAGACCCCAGGAAGCCTGCTCAGACCCCAGAGGGGTGTGACCTTTGCAGAACACGGGACACCTGGCCACTGGCTCCTGGCTGGGCCCCGGGGGCCCGCATGGCCCCACACCTTCCTGGGTCCACCACGTTCTCATCAGAAAAGAAACTCAGTGACAAACAAGGCCATCATGCTAATACCGTGTCACTGTGCACCTGGCCCCAGGATGCTGGAAACGGGCCATGGGCTCGGGACACTTAGAGATGGCTGTCCCTCCTCTCTTGCCTAGGAACCAAGAACCTGGGGACAGAAGCAGTCATCAGTGCCACTGGCAGCTGGACAGATGGGGACTGGGGGCTGACAAGCTTCCCTAGTGTGGTCCCCAATGCCTTGTTTGAAAATTGCATCCAAGCGGGTTGCTTGTAATTTTATTAAGGCCATTTTTAAAAAGTTCTACATACAAGTCTAATGGTACTCAAACTCTCCTATGTACATGTAGTTTTTCTTTAAAAAAGAAGTCCCCATTCTGCCTCCAATCCATCACAGGAACAGACAGGGCCCTGGGCCTGGACAGACTGACACTGTGTGGCCCAGGGGAGCCTTCTGGTACAGTAGGCCACCCAGCCCCTCCGACATGAGCTAACAGAGCCACCAGGGATGAAGAGGCAGGGTGGGTCCCTAGGATCAAATCCAGCTCCTAGGGGACTGAGGCGGCTGCAATACCACAAAGAAATGCACCGATGGCCGGGCAGGCAGAGGAGTGGGTGATGGCGACGAGATACAAACCGGGAGGGGTCAGAACAGCGGGGCCTGGCCCAACACAGCCGACAGACCAAGCTGGCCAGACGCCATCCTCACAGGGCCGTGGCATGGAGGGTCTAGAACGACTTGTCACCTGGCCTCAGAGGCGCTTCCCGAAGCTGCCACTAAAACGTGCACTGTGTGCCTCTAAGTCCACCTGTCATGCCACCAAGGACTGGGAACTCTGCCCCAGAGAGGGGGTGTGGGCCGGGCAGGGAGGGCACAAAATGCCAGCTCTGCCGGCTCTCAGGAGACCACAAGACAACCTTGTTGGGGGCGCTGGCTCCCGTCGGCCCCCACTCCCTTGAGCAGAGGCCCTGGCTGCTGCTGGCCACTCAGAGGCCTCAAACACGCTCCCTCTCCACACTCGGGCACCTTTGGGAGGGGCAGGCAGGGCTGGGTCTTCAGAGACCCTCAATCAAAGCCCAGGCTCTGTCCCGCGAGTGTGACAGGTTGGCCTATGGTGCCTCTGCCACGGCCACTGCGAGCAGCCGCTGGGGCCCCACCCGGCCCGGCTCAGCCACCCTCACGCAGCCCTTTCACGTTGGGATAACCTGGGGGAAGCTCGAAAGGCCGACAGGCCCTGAGACTCGGCAGGCAGCGACTGCTCTGGGCGGGTCGCCTGCATTTCCAGTTAGCTTGAAAAATAGGTCCTGTAAGATTCTGGAATAAAAACATGCTCTCAGGCAGGGGTTGGCTTGAAGGATTCAGTTACTCATCGACAACCAAAATGTAAATGCAAACCAAAGAAAAACACGAGGACCCTGGCCGCCTCCCCACGCCTTAAGTATCAGGCTGCATCCGACAGTCCTGCGACCACTGACCACAGCGCAGGACTGCGTGTGCACGGAGGAAAACCAAGCTGTCAGCCGAGTCATTCCTGTCTCCGTGTGCAATCCCGTGGGCCTTCCGCCCTGGTCGGAGTTTTGCAGCCAAGGCGGCCCCCGATGGGCGTGCAGGGGGTGGTGGGGCTGGGAGAGGAAATGGGGCAAGGAGGGGGTGCAGGGTCAGCTGTGCCGCATGCTCCGTCCACTCTGCGCCCGGCCTGGTGACTCTAGCGCAGCACGTGCTCAGAAATATAGAAGACAGCCGTCAAAATAGTGTTTATTTCACTTTGCGCCCGCCCCTTGTGCCGGCGCCTTCTCCCGGGCTGGTGAACTCGCTCTCTACCTGACCACGGGCTGGGGGCTGGGAAGGTAGGGCGGCGATGGGGACCAAGAAAGGCAGTGAGAGCTGGACAAACAGTCGGAAAGTGCGCCGTGGAGCACGGCCGCTGCGACCACGCGCCTCCCAAGCCTGCCCTGTGCTGGGCTGGAGCTTCCTGCATCGTACAGAGGGGCGCTTGGGCCCCAGGGTGGGGCGCGGGAGCCAGCGCAGGGAGGGTCTGTGGGAGCGGGGTCTCACGGCCTCCAAGCCCAGCCTGGCCCCAGGAGGGCGGGCAGCCTGGCACACGGCCTCGCGGAGGTGGACGGCCGGGGGACGGGCTGGCGGGGGCGCTTGGCGGCATTGCAAGCTCAAATCACAAGCTCGGCCGTTGGCGAGGGACGGAGCGCGGCCTCCCGGCTGGGAGACGCCGTCGGGACCGCTAGGCGGCAGCGGGCGCGGCGAGCCCACTCACAGACGGTCCATCCGAAAGGTGTCCTCAGTGGCCGGGTCGGCCAGGACCATGTCAGGGTCGTTGAGCATGTGCAGTCCGTCCAGGGTCAGAGGGTCGATCTTGAGCTCATCCAGCGGAAACTGGCTGTCGGAGTCGAAGCTGACGTCGCCGACCCCGGCCAGAGAGCTGGTCAGTTCTTTAGAGAGGCTGGGGGGGGACTCTCCCGTCACTGGACACGGGGACAAAAGGCAAAGCTTAACCCTGGCTTCAGGCCCCAGACTAGATGCCGCCATCGTCCCCTCCGTGGATCAGACCTATTTCTGGGTTTCCCTGAGTGATTCTGTCCCCTGGGGACACTGGCAGTGTCAGGACATTCTGGCTGTCACCCCTGCTGGCATCTGGCGGGCAGAAGCCAGCGATGCAGCTCAGCCCCCTACAGTGCACAGGACGGCCTGCCCAAGGACGGCCTGCCCAAGGACGCCCTGTCCCAGCTGCTGAGGGGAGAACCTGGGCTGAGGGCCCCATCACTGACATGTCCCATGAGGTCTATACCACAAGTGTCACCAAGACGCAGGCTGGGGCGAGTGTGAGTGCTCGGCTGAAGCGAAGCCCCAGTTCCCCACAAGGATGCAGGTTCCAACCTGGGCTCCCTCCTCTATTCTGGGTGGGACACTGGGCCTGTTTCCAGATCTGGGAAACGGGTCTGATCATCCATGCCTTTCTGGGCTGTTGAGGCAATCACAGGGGCGGACCCTGGAGCAGCTCACAGACCTGCCCGCACCTGAGGGTGAGGGGAAGTGCTGGATTTGGTACTCGTGGCCTAGGCCACCCCTCCACCCTGGAGATGCTTGTGGGGACTGCTGGGGAGGTCACCTGCAATCCCCCAACAGTTTAGCCTTGCATGGGAACTGCCTTCCCCTTTGACGAAACCTAAAGTCTTCTGGGGAAGACAGGGCCAGGGTGGCCATCGGAGGGCAGTGAGGGCTGGGACGTCCTCACATGGGCCCTGCGGGATGAGGGATGTCCTGTCCCCAGGCGCTATGCTTCGACGGCTGGGGACACTCATCACAGCATGAGTGCCCCACGCGGCCGGTGTCCACACGCCTGCCATGAGGACCCACTCCCCAGCAGCCCTGGCCCAGGGCACTTGGCTGGCTGATGCAGGTCAGTGGTCTGGCCTTGCACGGGGCTCCCAGCCGCTCGGCCGGAGGCCGTGGGTGGGTGCACGCCCCAGGCACAGGGAGCTGGTTGTGTGAGGCAGGGTCCAGGCGTGTCTCCCCGAGGAAGGAGTCAAATTTGAGAGGGGTGACCTCCTTGGGCCCTGCCCAAAGCGGGAGGCAGCCTCACCTGTGAGGATGATGTTGGGGATGCTGCTGTGGCCGGCGTAGCCCAGCTGCTGCGTGTCTGGCAGGCTCCCGTGGCTGCCCGTGAGCCCCATCATGGCTGCCTGCGAGTAGTTGAGCGTGGAACCAGGGCTGTACAGGCTGCTGGAGCTGATGGCATTCTCCATCATGTTGAACTGCTCCAGCTGCGAAAGCAGGCGCCCGGTGTGAAGATGCATGGCTTGGGGCCGCTGAGCATAGGCCCCCCCAGCCCAGGCCCCCCTTCAAGGATGGACAGATGGATGGATGCAGGAAGACCCACTCCAGGCTGCAGCCAAGCCCTCCCAAGCCTGCGTGCCCCCACCCCGGGCTCCACCCCAAGCCAGCACCACCTCCCGGCAGACCCACGTGCACAGCCGGGGCTGAGGCGCCACCCACCCTCCCTCTCCCTCGCCCTCAACCGCCTGCCCTTCCTCCCTCTCCCTCCGCCCTCAGCCTCCGCTGTGGGCTGGGCACAGATGCCAGGGGCAGAGCCGAGCCTTCCCTCCCGGGGCTCCAGTCCCCATGCCCCAAAGGCAGGACGGGGGCTGAGAAGCAAAGCTGAGGGTAGGCAGGCAGGGTCCCCTGCGCGCATGCAGTCCTGACCCATGAGGCCCAGGTCCTGGCAAGCGTCCGCCCTGGGCACAGGCCGGCTGGTGGCCTGGGCACCCGCTCACCTGGTGGGACAGAGCATTGGCCTGCCTGGCCGCCATCTGCTGCTCATAGAATGCATCCCCAAACACGCTGCCCAGGGTGGAGGAGTGCTGCGGACAGAAGAAGGCCTGCTGTGCTCCGGTGAGCCATGGAATCCGGCACCGCCAGGCCGGGCCAGGAGACAGGCCTTGGGACCCCGACAACATGGAATGCAGGAGGCTGATGACGTCACCTCAGGGCTCCTGGGAAGCCTCTGTGCTGGCACCCCCAAAAGTGCCACCCTCATCTCCTCTCCTGAGCCCAGGTGTGGGAGACCTCATTTCCATCACATGGGAGTTGGAGGGGCCCAAGAGCGGAACTTGTCACTGGGGCCAAGGCGGGAGGTGCTTGGACGTTACGTTAGGACACAACATGCGCTTGACAGCCTGATGGATCCCCAGAAGACGGGACAGCAAACAGGCCACACACATGGACAAGATGGTGCACAGGGCCAGCTGCCAGCTGAGCAAGCACAGGACAGGCCCAGGGAATGCCATGCCCAGGGCTGCCCGTCCATGAGACCCAGGCTGTTCCTGCCATGAAAGGGGCTCTCAGAGACAGGGGGATGGGGCTGTCCCCGGAGGGAACAGAAAGGGGACACCCAGAACCCATGCTGGAAGACGGTGGGAAGGATCCTGCTGGGCAAGGAGGGTATGGCCATGTGTAGCCTGTGGTGTCCCAGTGGCCAGGAGCTCTGGCCGGCCTCTTCTGTGGGACAAGGGGGCCCAAGGAAGCCACTACCCCACAGCCATACTCAGAGGGAGTGCCTGGTGGCGTCCAGGTAAACATCTCCTCAGACCAAGGCACTGGACCTCCTCTCCTTGAGCTCCCCACCTGAGCTTTGTTCTAGAAAGATCCTCGTGTGCTCAGACAATCCAGAGCTTGAGTCTTGGGCCTTGGTCCCAGAGAGGAGCCGGGCACAAAACTACCTGTGATCAGCAGGTTGCAAGCAGAGAGACTCACCCACCCTGACAGGCAAGGGGGCTTGAGGAGCTGGACGTCCCATCAGAATGCCAGGGAAGAGTTAGGAAGGTGAACCAAGGGAGGGAGAGGTCAGACAATGTGGCGAAAACTCTGTCTTTGCCCTAAAAGTCAACAGCTTCAGGTTTGGGAAATGGGAGCTGCAGGGTTGTGGCTTGGTTTGCCAGGAAGAGGGAGGAGGTGGCAACGGGTGACTTCAGTGTCAGCTGCTGCAGGCCTTGCCCGATGCTGGGGGCAGGTGTGTTCCATGGCTGGGGGCCCACGGGGACTGAGGGTCTGACGAGGGAATCCTCAGAAACCAGCCACAGAGGGGAAGCAGGTCGGGCCACTACCCGCCCTGAGAGCCCCCACCCCCTGATCAGGGCCACCCTGGCCTGATGGTCCCGTCCCCACCTACTTCCCACATCAGCACCTGACAGACGACAGACACACAGATGTGGGCTTGATGCGACAGTCACCTGCTCTCCACCCTGCAGACTAACCCGCTTTTAGGCCAAAGAATTAAGACCATTCAGGTGACTCTCCTGAGAGAAATCTGCTCAACCCGATTCGTGCCCTGGCCTGCTTCACACGCAAGGGACGTTACTTGGGGGCCAGCTCTATGCTGGGCTCCCCACCTGGGACAGAGTCCACCCAGGACAGGCCCACCCCTACCCCCACCGCTTCCCCTGCATGAACCAGGTCTTCACCCCCCGAACGGCACCACATGAAGAGACCAGACAGTCACAGGAGCCAAGAGCCCAGAGCCAGTGCAGATGGACTGAGCGTGTGCAGGCACCAGGCTGACCCCGTACCGCCATCCTCCCTCGCTGGCCCAGGGAGCCAGGTCCAGGCAGTACCAGAGGCCTGTGGCTGATGGGACAGATGGCCCTATACACACTTGAAGGGTGGGGACAGAGAGGCCTTGTCCCCACTGGCCTTGTCTGTGGTCCCTCATGGGTGTACCTGGGACAGACAGCCCGACCCATTCCTCTCCCTGCTCCAGCTGGCTGGGGACAGGGGATGGCTTCAGAGCCTAGAAGTAGTGGCTTCTAGGGGCTTCTCAGTTTGGTGACACTTTGGGCAAGGGATGGCAACAGGGGTGTGCGGCCTGGGCCAGACGCTACCACGTGCTGGGCAGAACCCAGGACTGGGAGGGGCAGGGACGTCAGAAGCTGGTTCAGCTGTGCCAGATGTGCCAGGACGCCTGAGCCTGGCCGAGGTCACAGCCTGCCCATCACCTGGGGCCATGAGATGGGGATGAGGACCGGACACCCTGCAGAGGTGCCGAGAACTACCCGGGTCAGGGGTTCCAGTGGTCAAGGGACACGGCTTCCTACCAGGTGGAGAGGAGGCAGCTGGGTGTCGAGCCTCTCCTGGGCCAGCTGGCCCTCTCAGCTGGGCCTCACAGCACGGGGTGCCCCTCCGCCACAGGCCTCCCGTGCTTGAGGCCACGTGACAGCCATGCTGGGGCACACGCTCCAGGCTGCACGTGGGCACGCGAGGGGGGACACCCAGGCACAGCCACCATGGGACAACGGCCGTCGGCGCTGTCACTGGCGCATGGCCGCCCGCCACCCGCTGCTGGCGCTTGCAGAGACCACAGAGGCACAACGGGAGGAGGGCCCGTGGGGGCTGGTGGCAGCCCCTCTGCCCCGGGCGGCCACCCCTGCCCAGTTCCGTCCCACGCGGCCGGGTGGGTGCACAGCTCTGGTCCAACCGTGTGATGCAATGGAATGGAGAGACACATGAGCATGGACGGCGGGGGGTGAGAGGCACACAGGCGTGCAAAGGACTGGATGCGGGCCAGGGTGAGGGAGGCGTGTCCCTTACTTGCGGGGAGCTCCCGGGGGAGAAGCCTTGATTGGAGACAGGCGAAGTGGGAGACTGGTTGGCCGGGGAGCCGGCGCTAGTGCGGTACTGCTGCAGAGCCGGCGCCTGCGGGACAGACAGGTCAGCGCCGCGGCTGCTCCGCCCCAGGCTCCAGGCCTGACCTCCTGGGAGGGGCCTGCACCCTGCAAGCCCCTGGCCCCAGATGCCTTGGGGATGGTGCCACCCACAGGCGGGCAGAGGACCCCGGGCCCTGTCAGCCTGAGGCCCTGGGGGACCTGCCCCCAAACCTGCTCCTAGGGCAGGGGGCTGTGAGAACCCAGAACCCAGCCCCCTAGAGCTGCCTTCCTTACCAGAGGGCCGATTGGACTCAGCAGAGCTGAACAGCAGTGTCTGCACACACGTGCACAGCCACATGGTGACACACGCACACCCATACAGTGACACACCCAAGCATGCACACCCAGTGACATAAACCTGTGCACACACACTCACACGGTGACACATGGACACACATATCCCAGTGTGCACACTCACGCACATTCACATGTAGGGCTGTCACTGCCTCCAACGTCCCTCGCACAAGCCTGCTTATGTTATACCGTCTGAGACCTCCAGGGACAGCCACTTCCTCAACCCACTCAGGGACAAAGGGGCTGGGCTTCTCACTGCTGTGACCCAGACCCTCAGAGGCAGGCCCGACCAGGCCAGGACCTGGACTCAGGCCACATTCTTGACCTGGCCCGGCCTGGCCATGCTGTGTGCCTGTAGACAAGCTGCCTGCTGTCTCTGAGCCTGCTGTTAGATGAGGCCCAGGGTCCTACAACTGCCCTGCATCCCCCATTTCCTCAAGGGTCCTATCTGGGCAGGAGTTGAGTCCAGGTGTGGCGGGGGCAGGGGAGGGCTGGCTGAGCCGGGTCAACTGGGGATGCCCAGCGTGGGCGTTTCTAGACTCCAGGAGAAGACGGCCAGAGGGAGGTTCTCACTCAGGCCAGTCTACAGGAGCTCAGAGGGGCCGCCCAACCCACAGAGGCCACCAGTGCCAGGGTGGGAAGCCGCCCTGAGTGGGACTGGGTGTCGATGCCCTGGCCAAGAACCCTGGAGGGGCCATCCCTGCACCTGGCCCAGAAACCCAGCCAGGCACCACCCTCAGAGACTTCCGCGGCTCCTGCTATGTGTCCACTAAGGGAAAGCCCGGCCACTTTCCCATCGGGACCTCTGGGTGGGTGCCCCGAGGGCCACAGCAGCTTCGGAACATGGGTGTCCACCTGTTCCCGTCTGCCCCACCTCCTCAGGAGCCTGCCCTTTGCAGGGCACAGAAGTCCTGAGGCCATCGAGCTGGCGGCTGCAGGACCCACTGCGCCCCAAACACTGGTCCCTGTTCCTCAGAGGCAGCCACACAGAGCTGCCCCCGCCCTCGCTGGAGCCCCAGGACGAAGACGTGGGTGGTCAGGAAGGTTTGTGGGTACAGGGCTGAGACCCGGCACCACTAGCCTGAGTCCGTCCCAGGCAGGAAGTCCCCAGTCCGAGCTGCAGCCCTTGGGCCTCCCGCCATGCTGCAAGGCCTCTCGCCTGGGCTGGCTGGCTTCACCCTCCCCACCCCTCTGAGCACGCAGCAACCCCCTGGCTCTGATGCCTGCTCCCAAGCCCTCGGCACCTGCAGTCTCCCTAGAAGCCTGGGTCGGGTGGGAGGTGCTCGGAGGCCACGGGGGTGTGCCTGGCAGTCAGACACAGGGACCACCCTTGTGTGAAGTCGAAGCAGTCGCCCGGCTCGAGCCTCCGTTTCCCCATTTACACACCAGGTGGCATCTCTGCTTGAGAACTACAAGGGAGGCCCACGAAGCCCCCGGCTGCTCCTCCACACCTCCCGGGCAGTCCCCCGGGCCCTGACCTGGGCTTACCGAGGCGATGTCGATCCCCATCGACGGCTGGCTCGGGTTCTCTTGGGGGGACTGGGGGAGAGAGGATGGTACCGTGACCGCAAGCGGGGGTGGCTGTGGTCCCCGCGTCAGGCTGGCGCTGGGCAACAGGGGGCCACCCGGGGGGAGGCGGACGGGAGCCTGTGGGGGCGGTGGGGGCGGTGGCTGCTGGGACGCAGGTGGTGGTGGTGGCGGGGGCTGGGGCTGCGGTGGCTGCTGGGAGCCCGCCTGGGTGAAGAAGGCGTAGGGCAGCTGCTGCTCCAGCGACAGGGCGTCCATAGCCACGGCCTGGGGGGAGAGGGATGTCAGGCAGGCGGCGGGACAGGCCACGAGCGCCCCTCCCTGGGCCCTGACAGCCAGGTGTGCTCAGAAACGGCCCCATGGAGGGACCTGTGGGGTTGGGCCCCGGGCGGGTGCTCCTGATGAGGAGTAGGCCTTGCCCAGGGCCCCTGGGGGTCAGGCTGGAGCTGGACCGGGCCTGGGCATCTCATCCCAAGGATCCCCACCTGCACCTGAAGAGCCTGTCACCATCAGTTTGTGCTGTGTGACTCAGGCAGTCCCAGCCAGTGCTGGGCCACACTCAGGCAGTGTAGGGGATGGCCAGCTCCTAGCCCCTCTGGAGTCTTGGGGGGCAGGCAACTCCTCACCCCAAATTCTTGCCCGCTCTGATGGAGACACTGGTGTGGTATCCTGGTAAGGACTGGCTCAGGACCTTCTCAGAGTTGGAAGCAGGAAAACACAGGAGGGAGTGATACTGGGTGTGTCTGTGGGAACCCACAGCCAGGGGCCACCAAGCCTACAGCTGGCAGGAAAGTGAGGGACCCAGCCCTCCGAGAGAGGCTGGCCATGCCCAGAGCCACAGGACAGTGCCAGGTCTCTAATAAGCAGGGGTATTTCATGAATAGAAAGGAGTTTCTAGAAAGGGAAGGGGCAGGGGTCATGGACCAAGACAAGACAGCTCAGCTCATGAAGAGGCTGAAGACACAGGCCCAGGAGGCCATGCCCACTGCTCTGTCTGCATCCTGATTTGCACAAGACAACCTTCTAAGGACACAGAGACATGGGGGAGTCCAGAGGTGGGAGGGACTGAGCCCAGGTCAGGTATCTCAAGGCACAGAGGAACCACCGCTAGTGTTGCTGCAGGTGCACAGCACCCTCATGGCCATGCTAAAAATGAACAACAACAAAGTTCTCTGCTAGGATTTTTTAAAAAATAGACTCAATGGACAAATTCCAAGAAATAAACAAGACACCAAAACTGACTCAAGAAGAAACAGAAAACCTGAATAGTCTTACAACAAGCAAATAAATTGGATCAGCAATGAGAAACCTCCCAACAGAGTCAAGCCGAGACCCAGATGGCTGCACTGATGAATTTTACCAAACTCTCTCTTTTCTTAAGAGACAGAGTCTCACTGTGATGCCCAGCTGGACTTGGAACTCCTGGGCTCAAGTAATCCTCCTGCCTCAGCCTCCTGAGTAGCTGGGACTACAGATGCATGTCACCACATCCATCTAATTTTACCAAACATTTGAAAAGGAATTAAATGCTTCTCAAGTGCTTGTAAAAATTAGAAAAGGAGGGAACATTTCCTAACTCATTCTATGAGGCTGGACCAATTTTAGGTTAAGAAAGAGAAGACTTAAATTACTAAAATCAGAAATGCAAGTGGGAACTTTGCTACCAACTTTATATAAATAAAAAGGAGTGTGGAGGCCAAGGCTAGAAGACTGCTTGAATCTAGGAATTGGAGACCAGCCTGGGCAACATAGCAAGACCTCATCTCTACAAAAAAATTTAAAAATTAGCCAAGTGTGGCAGCATGTGCCTGTAGTTCCAGCTACTGAGAGGCTGAGGCAGGAGTACTGCCTGAGCCCAGGAAGTCAGAGCTGTGGTGAGCCATGATCATGTCACTGCACTCTAGCTTGGGCAACAGAGTCAGTCTCCAACTCAAAAAAAAAAAAGACAGTAAACCAGTTAAACAACCAATAGGAAACGGACAAGTTCCTGGACACATATAAACTGTTTTTAAAAAAAAAAAGTAGAAAAAGCAGAAAATTGAAAAAATAAAAGCTAGACTCTCAGAACATTTTTTTAGGGGAAATTTCAACCAGATCCTAACAGAGAGAAAGCAGCAGGATAAAGATGCCCAGTTCAACCAGATCCTAATAGAGAGAAAGCAGCGAGGATAAAGATGCCTAGTCTCTCTCAGCACGAGATAACAGTTGCTGGATCTGCCTGTGATAGGTCCAAGGGACTCCCAGGGCACTGACCTTTGCATCTCCCATGTGTTTGAAAACTCTGAAAAATACTGAAAGTGTCTGGAGTGTTTTCAAGATTCTGCAGCCTCCTGCAAGGAGCAGGAGGCCTCTCAGAGAGGTCAGACCCCACCTTCCCCTCCCACCCGCCCTACCTCGCCCTCGCACCTGAGTGATGGGTGACAGCGGGGACAGGGTGGGTGATGCCTGCTGCCTCCTCGCTTCTGTGCTCAAGGACAGGGGGCTGACGCCTGCTGGGCGGTGCTGCGGAGAGGAGCCAGGTGTGCTCATCCCTGGAAAGGAGGTAGGAAGGCGGGGAGGAGTGGCCGCTCACATACCCATGGCCACTGCACCAGAACAGCCCAACTGCACAGACAGGAGCCAGTGGGCATGTTTCAACTGCTAAACCTGGGGCACCCTCCAAGCCCCAACCATGCCCCTGGCATGGTCACTGTTCTCCTTCTGTTCCTCCCACCTGGAGGGGAGTGTCCCACAGACCCAGTCAATCACACTTCCCCATCTCTGGCGCCTGTAATTAACCCCTTGGGGGACATGTGATCAGACTGGTCCAGTGAGAGCCTGCCCAGGGACCCTGGATGGAATTCCAGGAAGGGCCATCTGAAGTCATGGGATGGGGAGGGGGTATCCTGTGACCATGAGGGGAAGAGCCAGCTGAAGAGCAGAGGGGCAGAGGCAGGGCCTGAGCCCCCATCCAGCCACACTGGTGCTTCCTGGTTTCAGGAGACAATAAATCCTCCCTCTTGTTTAAACGGGTGTGGGTAGCAGTTAGCTTCAGCAAGCAGGCCCTGCCTGATGCTGTGGCTTCCTGGCCAGCCTCTTTCCTCTCCTTTGATGACAGCATCCATTCTGTTACTGCTCCTCTTGGAACCCTGATGTCCCATGTCCATATCCCACTCCTCCCACCTCATACATGCATTATAGCGCAGCGCTGCCCCACTGGACTGCCTGAACTAAAACTGTTATTCCTGTTTTACCCCTTCCCTGCCCCAGGGTCTGACACATTCATTCCTGCTGAGCTCCTGCCAGCGGCCTCCTCGTCACCCCTTTCCTCACCCTGGCCCCCGGGAGGCCCTTGCTCTGAACAATCCAATCCTTAAATTCCGCTGTAGTGAGGGAGCTAGGTGAGGTCAAGTTCACCCCGGTGGCAGCTGAGGCCTGCTGGGTTACCTGCGGCACTGTGCCAGGGAGGCATCAGGCCCCTGACGGTGGGGGAAGTCCTGGGGGCCTGTGTGATGCCTCTCCACCCCCAAGACTTGGCTTCTCAGTTGATGAGATGGAGATGGTAACAGCTGCCTCCTGGGTTCAACATGAGGCCCAGTGAGGTCATGAACAGGCTCGGAAGTGCGTCTGGCCCGCATTTGAGACTGGTAAAGCTGCCAGATCAATCCGGCAGCGCCAGGTTCGCCCTGCCAAGGGCAGAAGACTCACCCTACTCCGGCAGACGAGGTAGGTGGTGGTGTGCTGGCCTGTGGGGCTGTGCCTGGCAGGTGCTGAAGGAGCTGACATGCAGCCGTGTCCCTGTCTGTGTCCATGCCCAGGCAGCTGCTCAGCAGGGCAAAGTCGGTCATGCCTATACTTCCCTGTGGATGCCCTGGCAGCTCCACTCAGCCGAGCTGTGAGGGGGGCCTGGCACCGTCAGCTGTTCCCAGGGCAGAATTCTGAGGTCTGATGTCTGCACAGATGTTGGCATCAGAATCAGTGTCAAGGGAGGCATCAACATTTGCCAGGGCAAGAGTTTGGGAGACGCCTGCTCGGAGCCACACTTGACATGAGCCCTGGGCCACTGCCTTGTCTTCTGGTGAGTGCCCACCACTTCATGTGTCCAGCAGGTTGAGGGATGCATGACACTCAGATCAGAGGCAGATATTGTGGCTTGGTAAGCGGCACAGGCAAATACCAGCCAACAGCATGTGAAGCAACAGGGGCGGATGGAACACCCTGGCCCACTTGGAGGGATAGGATACTGGCCCACTGCTGCTGGGCCCTCTGAGTAGCCAGACATCCAGATTTTACATGTACTCTGATTTTTTTTTTTGAGTTGGAGTCTCACTCTGTCGCCCAGACTGGAGTGCAGTGGCCGCTCCTGGCCACCGCAGCCTCGATCTGCTGAGCTCCGGCGATCCTTCCGCCTCAGCCTTCCGAGTAGCCGGAATTACAGGCATGCGCTACCACGCCCAGCTGAGTTTTTGATTTATTGTAGAGACGAGGTCTCGCTGCCCAGGCGGGTCTCGAACCCGCGGGCTCAGGCAATCCACTCACCTCAGCCTCTCAAAGGCGCGGGATTACAGGCTGAGCCACTGAGCCCAGCTACACTCTGATTTTTAAATCTTTTTTTTTTTTTTTTTAAATCGGTCTCATTCTGTCCCCAACACTGGAGTACAATGGCACACTCATGGACACCGCAACCTCAACCTGCTGGGTTCAAGTGATCCTTCTGCCTTAGTCTTCCAAGTAGCTGGAACCACAGGTGTGTGCCACCACACCTGGCTTATTTTTTCATTTATTGTAGAGATGAGGTCTCACCAAGTTGCCCAGGGCAGTCTTGAAACCCTGGGCTCAGGCAATCCTCTCACCTCCCCTCCCAAAGTGCTGGGATTACAGGCTGAGCCACCACGCCTGGCTGATTTTTAAATTTTAATCCAAAGTACAGCCATGCATTGCTTAACAATGGGCTATGCTCTGAGAAATGCATGTTTCACTGTGTGAACATCAGAGCATAATTACATGAACTCATATGGAAGAGCCAGCTACACCTTGGGCCTTGGTTCCTAGGCCACAGCCCTGCACTGCTGGGAACTGGCAGGAAGGAGGTGCTCAGGAGGCTGCAGGGAGAGGGGAAGGGAAAGCAGGGGCACCCGTGTCCTCAGTCGACCCTGGCTCTCTTGCCCTGTCCAGGTGTGTGCAATGCCACCTGCCTGGCTCTACCTGGAGGTTAGTTGGCCCCTCTGAATCCACTCCCTGCGTCTGCAAGGCCTGCCCTGGCGCCCTCCCTGGCTGCAGGGCTCGCAAGTGGAGTTGGGCGTAGGGGGCAAAGCCAGCTGCAACATTCGGGCCAGGGCCACCCCTCTCCACTGTCCTGGTTTCCACTGCCTTGTTTCAAAACCCAGGGGCACTCGACCACCCTCTGTGCCCCTCACCTGTCCCGGCCGTTGCCAGAGCAACACGTGCTCCTCCCACCCCTCCACCCCCACCAACCCCGCTCCCAGCTGCCAGCTGCACCCTGGAGTCTCCTGAGGGGCTCCCGCCTTGCTCCAGGCACTGACCCTCAGACAGCAGCACTCCAGGGCAGCCAGGGGGCATTGCCAAACACGAATTTAAGCCCATGACGGTCTCGTGGAAAACCCTGCAGGCTGTCCCGAGCCTGGGGGGAAGGCGGGATGGGTGAAGGATGGGCAGGTGT